CATGACCACACCAAGCCCAAGCCCCGGGAGCTGGCCTTCCGCAAGGGGGACATGGTCACCATCATCGAGGCCGTGGAGGTGAGACCCGTGGGTGCTCAGGGACACGCTGCGCTGAGCGGGCATGGCCTGAGCGAGGCTCCAGCGCCATCAGCTCAGCTGTCACAGCCGGTCCCTCCCTTCCCAGAGGCATCCGCCCTTCCTTCCGTCGCTCTGAGACCCTCTCCTCCCCAGGGCAAAGGCTGGTACCGTGCCAGGCACAACGAGACGGGGCAGGAGGGGCTGCTGGCAGCCAGCGCGCTGCGGGAGCGCGGGGCCATCCGCGCCGACCCCAAACTCAGCCTGATGCCGTGAGTACAGCTGGGGTGACTGGGGGGCCCGGGGGACCCAGCCGAGCCCCTGCGAGCTGCAGCAGCACATGGGTCCAGCATGTTCCTCCATCAACGTTCTGGGGGCGCAGCAGGGGACAGAGCATCCTGTAGCCGTGCCCTGGGGATGGAGGGATCTGCTGGGGCCAGTACCTGGCTTTAAGGACCTCTAGTTGTGCCAGCCCAGCGGGGCTGCACCCCATGGAGAGACCTTTCATGCAGTAGGGTCTCTGTAGCTTCGGCACGGGCTCTGCTTTCCCCATCTCGCTGCGGTCCCTGGCTCAGCCCCCTCTGCGGTGCCTCTGTCCTCAGCTGGTTCCACGGGAAGATCTCGGGGACGGAGGCGGTGCAGGAGCTGCAGCCCCCCGAGGACGGGCTGTTCCTGGTGCGGGAGTCTGTCCGGCACCCCGGGGACTACGTGCTGTGCGTGAGCTTCGGCAGGGAGGTGATCCACTACCGCGTGGTGCACGAGGAGAACACACTCAGCATCGACAGCCAGCAGTACTTCTCCAACCTCATTGACATGATTGAGGTGAGACCTCCCGGGCAGAGGGTCCCACCAGTGCCAGAGAAGGGCAAGGACCTCAAAGGCTCACACAGAGGCAGGTCCTTGTCCTGTTCTATGTGGTTTTCACTGGTGTTTTACCTGGTGTAATTCTCTGCCCCTTTCAAATGCTCATGGTTCTCACCCGGTTTGAGTGCAATAGGCAGATCTGGGATATCCCAAGGATGCCTCTGCAAACCAGCTGTGCCAGCTGCAGTCACAGTCCACAGCCAAGGGCTACATTTTACCCCTATCCCTGCTTATTCAATGCTTCAGAAAGCAGGAAGACCCTGGTGGCCTCTACCTCCCCTGGACTTCAGGGCATTTTGCTGTGTCTCCTTCCACTCAAAGCCCCCTCTCACCTGCTGACCCCACAGGGCTCCCAGGCTGTTGTGTGAGCTCTTGCCCTTCCAGTGAGTTTTTCCTGGTGGTCCTTCCCTCACCCTGTCTCCTCTCCAGGGAGTTGTACCCTTAAGTTTTCCTTATAGACACAACTTTTGGGTGGCTCCTTTCCCTTCTCAGCTGCCCTGACCCCACTTTAAAAGTCTGAAGGTTGTCTTGTCCCATCCCATCCTGTCCCATCCTGTCTGGCTGCTTCCTCCCCCATTGCCTCTGCAAACTGCCCTCAGCTGCTGCAGCACCTGCCAGGAGTTCAAACCACACCAGTAGCACCCCAAACACCTGTGGTCCATCATGGTGTTCCTCTGGCTGTGCCCAGAGGGGAACAAGGCTGAGACATGGGCTGTCCTCAAGGGTGGCGATGGTGCGGTCTTGTGGAGCATCCCAAAGCTGTTCCCTGGACCCCTTGACCCTGAGGATAAGAGCTGGCATCACCTCCATCTGTTCATCCCTTGGCAGCATTACATGAAGGAGCAGGGAGCCATCTGCACCAAGCTGGTGAAGCCAAAACCAAAATCTGGGATGAAGTCAGCTGAGGAGGAGTTGGCCAAAGGTAGGGGATGGTGGGACGGGGCTGTGGTCTGCATTTTAGGGACAAGGCCCCACTGGTGGCCCCTGCTAACCTGCCCTTGTGCCCATGCCCAGCTGGCTGGTTGCTGAACCTGAAGCACCTCACACTGGGGGACCGCATTGGGCAAGGCGAGTTCGGAGGTAGGTGAGAGGATGGGGCTGGAGGTTCCCAGGTGCAGCTTCCCCAGAGAGCACTGCCTGATCCCCCTCCCCATCTCATGGCACGGGGAGCTCAGCCTGGAGAGCAGGAGGCTGGGTGTGGGGCTCAGCCTGACTCTCCCATGCTCTCCCAGATGTCCTACAGGGCGAGTACCTGGGGCAGAGGGTGGCTGTGAAGAACATCAAGTGCGATGTGACTGCCCAGGCCTTCCTCGCTGAAACAGCTGCCATGACGTGAGTGCTCCGTGGAGGTGTGGCCCGACCCTGCCTGTGGCCCAGGATGACCAGGCACCTCCTTGACTCAGATCCCTTCCATTCCAGGAAGGTCCGGCACAAAAACCTGGTGTGTTTGCTGGGAGTGATCCTGCACAATGGCCTCTACATTGTCATGGAGTTCATGAGCAAGGTGAGAGCACCTGGCTGCTCCTCAGCCAGTGGGACCCATCACCACTTAGATTTGGGAACAATATCTGCATCTAGAGGCTGAGTCATCACACATGCCAGACACTGCAGCACCTGCAGAAGGCAAAGTCTTCTGGCAGCCCCATCCTGTTGGTCCTGACGCATTTTATCCTCCTCTGTCAGGGCAACCTGGTGAACTTCCTGCGCACGCGGGGCCGGGCACTCGTCCCGACCCAGCAGCTCCTCCTGTTCGCTCTGTAAGTTCCCCCCTCTCCTCTGGGCTGGGATCCAGGGCCCTGCATCGCCCTGTGCAGCCCCAGGGAGCATGGGTGACACGGCTCTGTCTCACTCGGTTGTGGCAGGGATGTGGCTCAAGGCATGGACTACCTTGAATCCAAGAAGTTGGTGCACCGGGACCTGGCTGCCCGCAACATCCTCATCTCTGAGGAGAACGTGGCCAAAGTGAGCGACTTCGGCTTGGCCCGGGTCAACCCCAAGGGTGCAGATGCCACATTGCTCCCTGTGAAGTGGACAGCACCAGAGGCCCTGAAACACAATGTGAGGGACAGTGAGAGGGGCTGGGCTGGCCAGGGGGTCCTTCCAAAGTATCTCACACCCTTGGGTTGTCCCTGCTTGTTCCCATTCCCACTGACCCATCCCTGTCCCACGCTGGCCTCTGGCACTGTCAGCCCTGCATCTCCCAAAATTCTGTCTCTGTCCTGAGCAGGCGTATGGGACTTGGGGAATTGGGAATTGGGGCAGGATGATGGGACTGGGGGGGTGTTCACACCCTGGGGAGCTGAGGGGGGCCAGGAGGCAGTCACTGTCCTGTGTCTCACCCTTGGGAAGCAATGGGGACCCAGCACAGCCCTCAGCCTCCCCCTCTCCTGCCGCCACAGAAATTCTCCTCCAAGTCAGACGTGTGGAGCTACGGGATCCTCCTGTGGGAAACCTTTTCCTTTGGACGGGCACCCTACCCTAAGCTGGTGAGCACTGTGCCAGGGAGCACCACAGGTTACACCCCAGTGGCACTGACAGGACAGGGGCATCCCATTGCTCCCTGAGCAGAGCAGGGAAGGGGGTTGCCAGCTGGCTTCTCCATCCTGGCAGGCCCTGAAGGAGGTGACAGAGCTGCTGGAGCAGGGGTACCGCATGGACGCCCCCGAGGGCTGCCCACCCACCATCTATGCCCTGATGAAGAGCTGCTGGGAGCTGGAGCCAGGCAAGCGCCCGTCTTTCAAGAAACTCACAGAGAAGCTACAGAAGGAGCTGAAGCACCTGAGAGACATTTAACCCCATCCTGCTACCAGGACACAGGACCTGAAGCCCCTAGATCCTCCAGGGCTGGCTGTGGCAGAGCAAGAGGGGCCAGGAACAGGAAGGTCCATGGTGCTGCTCTCTCCCTGTGGAGATGGGGCAGCAGCCCCCCTCCATCCCAGAACGGTCCTTCTACCCGCCACACAGCCCAGAGAAGGTTGCCATGGGATTGATCTCCCCTGGCCCACCACAGTGGGGAGCACAGGGCCCAAGGGAGCCATGCCCACACCCCTTGTGCTCAGCCCCAGGAGCAGATGCTGCATGTGGGGTCCCTTCAAGCTGAGACTCCCAGTGATGGGAAACAGGACTGGAATGTCCACTCACTGGATAATGAGATCCCACCCTGATTCAGCTCTGCCCCAGCACCCAGCCCCACACAGGGATGCTGGCACAGCCAGCTAAACCACATGGATTTGGGCTTTTTGATTAAACCAAAGAAATTAGTTCAACAGCATCTTTAAGCCTCTGGGGTGAAATTAGGTCTATCTCTCACTTGGAGCCTGACAAAGCCCAGTGAAAGGCTTTGGGGGGGCCAGGAGCTCTGGCCCTTGGAACCCCCGATGCCATCCAGCCCCTCTCCCACCGGAGCTCTGTGCAGCAGGGGATTATGCTTTAATCAGAGGCTGTATGGGAATTGCTTTCGTATAGATTATGGGCACGGGGCACATCCCCAGCCGTGGGGAGCCCCCGGCCCCGCAGGCTGCCGAGCAATCTCGAGTCTCGGTGGAGCAGGGATTAGCGGGGGCACGGGGCTGCCGCGGGCGGGTGTGCACCGCCACCGCCTCATCTGCTGCCAGTCCCCTGACCCTCGACTGGGTTTTTTTGGCTAATCCTCTTGTGTCTCCTCTGTGCTGACTTCCTGCACCCCCAATCCCCCCGTGTGCATGGTTCTGGGTGCCCATGGCATGGGGCTCTCCCCAGGGCTTGCCCCAGCCCCATTGGGTGCTGATCCAAATTTGGACCCATGGTCAGCCTGACCCAGCGTGTGCTGCAGGTCGATGACTCCTTCCACCTCCCCATCACTGTGATGTGGCAGCACCTGCTGTCCCCCTGCACTGCCACTGTCCCCTGCAAGCACCCTTGGGTGCAGCAAAGGGAAGGTCCTTCCACCCTGGCTGTGCCTTCCCCTCCTAATGCCTTAATCCGCCCCTGATCCGCAGTGCCCCTGGGGCTGGTCCCACTGACCTTGCAGGCACTGGGACCCGCTGGGCACCTTGGGGCAAGAGCTACCACCACCACCCACCATGGCCTCCTTCTTCACGGCTGCCCTGAAGAGCTTCCAGGGGGGCAAGGACGAGTCCCCCAAGGGGACCCCCAAGGATGACAAGGCAGCTGCACTGCCCAGCAGCATGGCCCGGGAGGAGTTTGAGGAGTACCAGCGGCAGCTGCTGGAGGAGAAGTAAGGCTTTGCCGCGGCTGAGAGGGTCTCTAGGGTCCCCCAACACTCCAGAATCAGGATCTCACCTGCTGTGGGCCTTGCCCAAGGTGGCACAGGACAGGGACAGGGAGGCAGCTGGGGAAGGAGACAGTGCAGAGCAGGTGCCCTTCAGTGTATCTCCCCCACAGCATGGGAGGTCCATGGAGGGGCTGGCACAGGGCTGTGACAGCACCTTCGTGCACCACAGGTGACAAGGGGAACCCCCAGGTGTCAGAGCCACAGGATGGTTTCACCCAGCACCCTTGGAGCCAAGGGTGGGCAATGGGGGTCAGCAGGGGATTGGATTCAGGTCGCACCTCCCTGGGACCAGGTGCTGTGGGAACCCAGCAGCTCAGCACCAGGGGGATGAGAGGCTGCAGAAGGAGCGAGTTCCTGCAATGGGTGCCTTCATCAACCACCTCTGAATCTGGGTGCTGGGCTGGGTGGACAGCATGTGGCTCCTGCTGCCAGACCCCCACTTGAACCCTCTTGTGGGTCTCAGACCTTCTCCCTCGTGCCCTAGACCTGCTCTGTAGGAGGACCAGGGTGATCGGGGTCGGGGTGGTCCTGGGTGCTCAGGGAGGGGGGGTGATGGTGTGGCACCTGCTGCAGGATCGAGCGGGACAAGGCGTTTGCACAGAGGAAGGCAGAACGGGCCACGGTGCGGATGCACCTGCGAGACAAGTACCACCTGGCCCAGGTAAGAACCAGCCTGTCTGCGGACCCGGGGGCTTCCCCTTGACCCTGCATCGCCCGGAACAGCCCCAGGCCCCGGCTGCCGTACTCCCCTGGGCTGGAGGGATTCCTGAAGAGGGCAGCAGACGGCCACTGTCTCCGTCTATCTGCCGCCCACTGTCCACCCAGCGTCCGAGTCTGGCACTGGGCAGTCCTGGAATCCCACCGTGTCCCCAGCACCTGGAATCCCACCGTGTCCCCAGCACCTGGAATCCCACCGTGTCCCCAGCACCACTGGCTGCTCGCTGTCCCCCGTCCCCGCTCCACCGTGGCAGGCACCGCGTCTGTCCCCACCCGACGCCCTCTCCCACCGCTTTAGGACGAGCGGGACGACGCCCAGGTGCACGTGGCCGGAGGGGCGGTGGAGCTGCCGCCGGACCTGGCAGCCATGGTGCGCGGCGAGGAGGAGGAGGAGGAGGACGGCAGCGCCGGGGCCTTCGCCCTCCTGGCGAAGCTGCGGCAGGTGGAGCTGCCGGCGCTGCGGGGCCGCGCTCTGGGCGGCGTGGATCAGGTCAGGGACAAGTGCACCCTGATGTAGCAGCGCTGCCCGCCCCGCCGCGGGTGACAGCGGCAGCCCCGCTCCCCGGGAGCCCCGGCATGCGGAGGCTCTGGCTGTTCCCAGTGCCCTGACTGGGGCTGCGGGTCCCAATACACGTTAGGCGCGGGTTTTCTCCCCCAAAACCATTCCCTCTTGCTTTCCCAGGCTGTGCAGGGGTGCAGAATGCCTGCGTCTCTTCCGGCCGGTATGGTCAGGTCCCTCTCGTGGTGCTCTTGGTGTGAGCCCCCATACGGGGAGGTCCCTGACACTGTTACCCCCGTCACCAGCCCTGGCACCGTGCACCATTTGGCTCAATAAATACAGCATTTACCAGCACCATTCTGGTCGTCCTGCCACATCCCGCACCCACACAGGCCCTGTCCTGGTTGGTGAGGGGATATGATGACAGCGCTGGAGCCGGGCTGCCCCGTGTCCCCTGAGCCACCAACCAGCCCGGGACGCTTGGCCACGGGGTCCGTCCCTGCTTCTGCAGCAGCCCCCACCGGGAGCCAGTGATCATCCCGGCTACCCCTTGGGGACGGCACCGGCAGCGGTGTGGAGCATTTACTCCCGTGCTCGAGCAGTGCGGGCGGGCAGCAGGGGCATCCCCTTGGCTGGGCCAGGGTGCCCGGCTGCCTCTTGCCCCGCCGGGGACTCTGTCCTGGGCGCTCGGCAGCAGCGCTGGCTTAAATGCTGCCGCGCCGGAAGGCCGGGGGCTGCTGAGATCACTAATACCTGCCTATTTTAGCGAGGTCTAATCTTCCTGAGTCGCCTGTCCCCGAGGACTAAGCTCGCTGAACCCGTGTAAAATGTACGGCCAGCGCTGGCCCCAGCGGCGCCTCCCGCCGGAGCCGGAGCCGGAGCCGCCGGGAATCACGCTGCGTGTGCATGAAAGGAAGGACGCGCTGAGCTGCCTCCATCCTGCCCACGCCGCTGCCATCTGCTCCGGAAAGGCTGCGGGGCCGGCCCTGCCCGGGCTGCCCACGGCCGCGGGTGGGCTGGGAGCTGTGTCACCGGGCTCAGCCGCCGCTGGGGAGCTGAGCACACGGAGCAGGGAGGTCCCTGGATGCACGAGGTGCCCAGTTCCCCCTGGAACCCCTCCGGGTACCAGGCCGGAGGCTGCTGGCTGCCGGAGCATCCCAGGGAGCGTGAGACACGCAGGGCCCGACACCGGGGAGCCTCGGGATGTTTGGTGGCCCCACTGTCCCTGCTGACTTCATCATCCCTGCTGTCTCTGCCATCACCCTCATCCCCGTTCACCAGCTTTTCTTCAGAATTTAGGAAATGTCTCTTGAGGCGCAATCCCCACCTGTGGGATGGGACCGCCTGCGCCACGCCAGTCCCTCTCCAGGATGCTGACAGGGTGTCAGCAGCTGTGGCACCCAGCACAACGCCGATCGCACCGCACGTCGCCACCAAGTGCCAGCTGCTGGGATGGTGGCACTGAGGTCCCCAACGAGCTCTGCCACCGCCACCTCAGTCCTCCATCCCCGCTCCACATCAGGGTCCCATCCTGCTCCGATGGGCAGCCCTCCCCCAGTGCTCCCAGTGGGGCTGCATGGGGACTCCCAGCGCCAGCTGGGATTCGGGTCAGGACCCTCCGCCAGGTCTCCTTGGCTAATCGTCCTGCCCCCCCGCCCTCCCCGTGCTGCCACCTGCCTCCCGCTCAGCACCCTTTTGGGTCACCCCTGCTGCCTCCCCGCCTGCCAAAGGCCTCTTAATGAACTAAAAAAGTGATAAATCCCGGCCGAGCTGGTCACGTGAGGCCGGTGGCCCCCGGCCGCCCCCCGGCCGCCCCCGGCCCCACCGCCCCGGTAAGCTGACGCAGCGTCTCTAAGCGTTAGCAGCTTTGCGCGCTAATAGGATTAGGGAGGTTTAAAACTGTCATTTGAGTGAACTAAACCCCCTGATACTCTGCATTGCACCTTCTTAACCAATTTGCCTTCAATTAGGGTAATTGGGAAACTAGCAAAGAAGTATAGCATTAATATTTTAAAGTGATGAAGCGATTACGGGCCTTGGACGAGGAAGCAAATCAATTTGCTATCTGCTCCTAAAAGGCAATTATAATCATTTGGCAAATCGGCCTGCTGCCTCCCCCCGGGCGAGGCAACACCTTGTGGCAGCCGCGGGGCCGGCACACAGCGCCGGGGCCGGGCAGCTGGGCAGCCCCCGCCCCCAAACCCGGCACCCTGGGGACCTCCCTGCACCCCCGGGCCAGTGGGGCACCCCGGGGACACCTGCCGAGGGCCAACAGTGCGGGGCACACGGCTCCCGCGCTCGTCAAGTGGCCAGCATGGGCATCCGGGCGAGTGGGGTCCAGTTTGTCCCCCTGCCCCACACATGGGACCTGCCCCACACATGGCCCCTGCCCGGGGATGTCCCCAGCCCCTCCGCAGGCAGCAGCTCCCTGCTCTCCCCTGCACTCTTGCAGCGCTGCATGGCACGGGGCTGTCACCCCTCCCCAGGGGCTGCCTGTGCAGCTCATGCCATCCCTGGGGCGTGGACTTTCTGTCCCCAGGGCAGTGAGCACGGCACCCCAGCCTGTCCCCTGGGGTGGTGGCACACTGTCCCCAGGGTAGTGGCATGCCCTCCCCAAGACAACATCACACAGTCCCCAAAGAAGTGTGAGACAGGGCAGGTGAAGCATCACCAGTAGGGGACAACGGGATGGCCTCGGGGCCCACACCAGGACACAGAGCGGGCTGTGGGGTCTCGCCACCAGCAGCTCTGGTGGGGAGGGCACAGACCCGCTCAGGGGCCAGCAGCCACCTGGCACAGGGTGCTGGGATCCAAAACCCCCGCAGTGACATTTGCCATCTGAAAGGGGAAGCGTGGTAAGGAGGGGAAGGGAGTGGGAGGAAGCCTAGACAGGCCCGGGGGTGGCAGCGGTTGCAGGTGGCAGGAAGATGGTTTTGGGAGAAAGTAAAAGTGAGCAAAGAAAGAAAAGGGCAAAATCCACCCCACATGATGGGGGCTGTAGGCAGCACCAAGCACATCCCCCAGCACAGCCCAGGAGCTCCACCATGATATTTCCATCATTCTTTGGGGCCCAGGAGCAGCAGTGGGAGTGGGGAGAAGAATGGTAGACCTGCCCCTCAGCCTGGCTGCCTTTGTCCCACGCCCCCTTAGGCCAGGACCCATGGGCACCCCCAGGGATTGTCCCCACAGCTGGATCCCACAGCTGGTCCCCACAGGGTGTTCCCATGCCTGGCCCTAGTGCTCAGTCCATGACTCTTCCCCATGCCTGGTCTCCATGGTCACTGCCCCATGGCGGCTCCCCCCACTTGGCCCTCCTGCCTGGTCCCCTGCTCTGGTCCCCGTGAGTGTTCCCTGCCTGGTCTTCATACCAGGTTCCCAAGGCTGTTCAGGGGGGCTGGTCTCTATGGCTGGTCCCTACAGCTGGGCCCACAGCCAGACCCCAGAGCAGGTCCCCAGACCGTGTCCTCACCCTGGGTCCTCACAGCTGGACGCCATGCCTGGTCCCCATCCCTGTCCCCACACCTGTCCCCATCTCTGCTCCCCGCATGGGCAGGGCTCTGCAGGCAGCATCACTGGGAACCATCAGGCCACCCACACTGTCACAGGGCCACCCCCAGGCTCGCCATCCCTGCCCAGGGGGGACAACACCCATCACTGCAGCATCCCCATCCCACCGAGGTTGGGGCATCTGCCCCGGACCCCATCCCTGGGGCAGAGGCTCCGCAGCCCAAGGAAATCCTGCCCCCTCCCCCCCTCCCCCTCCATCCTTTCTTCTCCGCTCCCCCTGTTTCTAATTCTTTCTCCTCGCCCGTAATGAGGGGATTACACGGCAAACTCCAGCAGGACGCCTTTGTGGGGAGACAATCCGAGTGGGGAAGGCAGTTCGGGGCTTTGTCCGCCGCTGCCCCCCCGGACCCGTGCTGGGGGGACATTTAGAGCAATTACTTGTCCAGAAAGTAACTGTCAATCATTCTTAAAGGGGAAGGCCTCCAATTAATAACCTCGTCTTAATCCTTTGGACTCATTTCCAATCTGCGGTGCCTTGGTGACATCTGCAACACTAAATAAAGATTCTCCCGAGCCTTAGCACGGCGGTTCTGTGACAAATAAGAAGACTAGAGGCAACTTTGGCTGCCAAAGCTGCGAGATTGGTGAGGTTGAGCCGCTTGTTTGGTTCCCGGGAGGGACCAGCAAAGTTAAATACTCCTGGAAAAGCCGAGTTGGGCCCAGCAGGTAACGCCGTTTTTTTCCAATTCGGGACAAAGCGCCGAGGGAAGATACTGAGACGGGGAGTGGGTGTCCCCAGGGTGTGCCCGGGGCTGGTGTTGGGGACGGGGCTGGCGCCATTCCCTGGGGACTCAGGAGCGGCTGTGGGTGCCCACCAGTGTCACTCGCCCTGAATCACACAGAGCCAGGGGCAGGAGCCACCCATGCTCCAAGCACCCATCCCAGGCGGCTTGAGCCCAGGGAGCCAAATTCTGGTGCCCAGATGGGCTTCCAAAGGCAAAGAATGGGGTCCCAGTGGAAGGTGGGGCTGTCCCTGGACTGTCTCTTCCACATCCCCTGCTGACGGGGCAGGCCACCTGTCCTCACTGATGTTCTGCTGCTTTGCAGGGCTCAGGAAGTGAGGGGTTTTTACCCACTTTGACCAGGGCTCAATGTCATTTCTGTTGCTTTTTTGGGTGTCTTTACCAGCAGCTGTTCCCTCCCCCCAAGCTACCATCCCCTGCGGGAAAACCATGGGCTGGAGCATCGAGGAGAGGGAGGGAAGAACTCTCTTGAGGTGTTGGGTGCTTATGGTTCCCAGAACAGTTTTGCCGTTTAAGGGCTTAAACCTGAAAATTGCTGCTAGCATGACAGTGGCTGCAGGCAGATGTCCTTCAGGAGCTGGAGTTCAGCCGTGTCCCCATCCCCAGTCAGCATGGCCTGTTTCCAGTCAGGATTCCCAAAACACTGGTGGCAAAAGCTTGGGAGTCCTGAGGCCAGTCCCTGGAGGATGGGGAAAACGGGGTGGTTGGTTGGTGCTGATGTCCCCCCAGCCTGATCTGTAATGCCCCTGTTCCCCACTCAGGGACATTCTGCGCCCCAGCCAGGCCGAGGCAGGCTGGGGTGGGGTCCGGGGTGCTGCCCTGCTGCTGGGTCGCTGCTGCTCCGGGGTTCTGCTGTTCTTGGCTCATCTGTGCTCCCAGGTCGGGGTTGGCTGCTCCCTGAGAAGTTTTTGCCTCCTTTGCTTTCTGGTGGTGTCAGGGGGTGAACCATGGGGCTCCGTCTCTGCACCTTAGCCTTGCTCCCCCACCATTGCCCCTCTTCTTCCCCAGCTTGCCCCGTCTTATCCCCAGCCCCCCCCGCCTCTCTCGCTCATTCCCCCAGTGCCCATCTCACCCATTCCCATGGCTCCAGCTCCTTCCAGCTCCCCCCCAGCTCTGGCTCCCCGCCACCGCTCCATGGGACCGTGGGACATGGCTGGGCAGGGAGATGGAGATCCTGATGGGGTGCTGGGTCCCTTCGGGGGGTCGTGCCCCAGGAGGATGCTCTAGGTGCTCAGCCCCCCTCTCTCCTCTCCTTGCAGGTGTGGAGCTGCGCAAATGAGAAGCAGGTAAGTGAGAGGAGGATGGCAGTGGGGGACCCCATGGCCTCCCTGTGTCCCCAACCCCAGAACATGCTGTGATGCTCACACAGTGACCACAGGGCCCCTGCTGCCCACAGCCCACCTGCCACCGCTGCCTTGGGCACCCCAGGGTGCAGCACCCAAGACCTCTGCCCTGACCTGTGGCTCCCCTGAGGCACCCTGAGACTGCTGGGCTGGACCCAGAGCCCCTGGGGCTACAGACACCCCGCAAGGGCTGTGGGCATCGGGGGGCATGCAGCTCCCAAAGGCACACACCCCATGCTGCACTCGCTGCACACACAGCACCACGTGTGCACAGCCCCTCTGGGAGTACAGCACCCACTGGGTGTGCAACACACCCTGCACACTCTGCAGGCACTGCAGACACTGCACACGCTGCACACACAGCCCTTGGCATGCACTGATTGCGCTGGACACACTGCCCACAGCGCATGCTTGGAGCACACCACAGCAGCACCAGGCACACGCTGCTCGTGTTGGCTGCACTGCACGGACACAGCACACGCCAGGCAGGCCCTGCACATTGTCACACACGTGCACACGCTGCATGTGCTTCACTGCACATTGTCACACACGTGCACACGCTGCATGTGCTGCACTGCACATTGTCACACACGTGCACACACTGCATGTGCTGCACTGCATGGTGTGTGCCACAGGCTCTGCACGAGCCTTTGCTGCCTGGGCCATGTGCACTGCACACCCTGCACACACTGCTCACACTGCTCACACTGCACACACTGCTCACACTGCTCACACTGCTCACACTGCAGACACTGCTCACACTGCACACACTGCTCACACTGCTCACATTGAAGACACTGCACACCCTGCACACGCTGCACACGCTGCACACGCTGCACACCCTGCACACGCTGCACACACTGCACACACTGCACACACTGCTCACACTGCACACACTGCTCACACTGCTCACACTGCAGACACTGCTCACACTGCACACACTGCTCACCCTGCTCACACTGCACACACTGCTCACACTGCACACACTGCTCACCCTGCTCACACTGCACACACTGCTCACACTGCACACACTGCACACACTGCTCACACTGCTCACACTGCACACACTGCACACACTGCACACACTGCTCACACTGCTCACACTGCACACCCTGCACACACTGCACACACTGCACACACCACTCACACTATACACACTATACACACTGCACACACCTGCACACCCTGCACACACTGCTCACACTGCTCACACTGCACACGCTGCACACACTGCACACACTGCACACACTGCTCACACTGCACACATTGCTCACAGTGCTCACGCTGCTCACACTGCTCACCCTGCACACCCTGCACACCCTGCACACCCTGCACACACTGCACACAATGGGTGCCCACAGCTCCTGTGCCCACAGGCTGTGCATGTCCCCCACACACTGTGCTCCCTGCACACCCACGGCACCATGCACGCCCTGCACGAGCGCTGTGCACACACATTGTGCCCTGCATGCAGCAGTGCAGACACTGCACAGTGAGCCCTGTGTGCATGGTGCTCAGGCACTGCTCCCGTGTGGCACAAACCACCCCGCACACCCCATCCCC